CTTCGACCTCCTCTCAATAAATTCCACGTAGGAAGATAAATTCTACCATCTCAGAATTATTTACAAAATATTGGGGACTAAAAGGCACTAATCAGGTGACATACAGTCGATAAATGTTGACCGCGATATTTTTACCCCAAAATCGACCGCAGACTTGAATGAATCCCCCATTAAAAGAGACAACTTGCCATCTTATTAACAAAAGTAATCAAACCTCCCTGTTACCTGTCTCTGAGGACAGTCAAAATTTGGGGTCAGACAAAACTTTTCTGGTATCTGATATGATTAAGATACTAGGAGAAATTATATAAACAAACGCAACTTTTCTGGTATCTGATATGGTTCAGACACTGGGGAAAAAAAAATTAACCCGAAAGGTGGCGTGGTCGATCGACGAGAGCATTGGACTCGTAATCCCAAAGTCCCGAGTCCGAGTCCCGTTACGACAAAAGCGAACCTATTCCTCAGTAGTCCCCTCAGTGGTCCCGTGTTCAATTTTACCCCACCACACTTGCACACAGCCAAATGACTTGACTTCTTCCTGCCTGGGCTTTAAACCATGTTGACTTTGATTTGGAGTACAAGTAGCAGTTGTCTGAGAACACTTTTTTTAATCTTTAGTAAACCCATCCTAATATTGCCTTTTGCAAAAAAATAACAATCAATTCCGCTTTTGGACGGGGTATTCGAACACAATTTTACCCGGAGGATGATGTTAAAGCTTTGAATTATCGATGTATAATTCCAACCTTTCTGAGCATCACAGTGCGCACATAGTGCGACTTTATTCAAACTGATGAGATTCTCGCACAACGAGTTTGTTTTTTAACGACTCCAATAAAAATAACAAACACGAAGCTCGTAATGATAAAGGCAGAAAAGCGATATGATTCTGTAATTAGCTGGGCCCACCTGTCACAAAGGGGCATTGCTTAGCATCAGGTGTCTGACATCACAAACCACTGGATACCAATGTTGGAAGTGGAGCAAACATGACTAGGACCGTGAAAATAGTCTGAAGGATATTTCAGAAAATAAACCATGGTGACTGTCAACTAAAACGACTGCCTTCGGCTTCTTTATCTGTGCTCTGCGTTCAGTAATAAATCTCTTAGACTGAAACAAAAAAAAAAAAGGATTTAAGCCGTAGGCGAGCTGGCCGGCGAGCGCTTTCATTCCTTTGCCATCCCAAGTTCAAAAACCCACAGAAAAAGAACACTTTACCTTCAAAATTGAAGCAATAGTCATTTTACCAGACTCAGAAGCAAGTAGCTTCAGAACTTGTTTCGACGAATGAGCGCTGAGAATAATTTGCTCAACAAGTTGTCTTAAGACAATATTTGGACCCGCTGGACCAATGACAGCAGGAAGACTTGCTACTTTAGTTTGCTTAAGAAACGGGCCCGGTTCCCGGGATTTCTTGACATAAATACAGATCCCTGTAAAGGAAAACAAAGGCAAATTTTCGAAGAAAGATCAACTTAGAGTCTACCATGTAGAAAGATTTTCTTCTCGTCTTACCACAAGCGTGAAATTAAGAAAAAAAATCTGACTCTTTATAACGAATGGAGACTCAGATCTTCGAAATCTGCACTCTGATATTTTACCACTGAACCACAAAAAGTCTCTATGGCGACTGTGCTACGTGACACGCGTTTAACACTCTTCTAAGATCAGCATTTTCGAAAGCTTCGTGTGAGGAGATAGGAAAGGACGATTGTAAGTTTTGAGTGCGGTAATAAAACACAGAAAGATGTGTTTTCATATTTTCGCAAGCAAGGGGAAAGACGATTTCAAGTCTCCTTCGTAGCCGTTATTTGGTCCCTTCATGCAAGGAGGGCAGAAGGTATTGTGTGCCGTGACAGAACAGCGGTTAAGTAGGAGACTACAGTCAACGTCAAGATTAGTTGACACAACATGTTTGAAGAGTCCTATTTGTGTAGAATAACACACTTGTTTTTACCACACTCTAAATTCAATGTTGCCTACATTTGGCTAAAAGTTCATGGAATCAAGATACAACATTGTTTTTTTTTTGGTTTTTTTTGGGGGGGAGGGGCAAGTAGGTTAACTTAAATAGGGTAAAAGAGACAAAATTGTAGTAACAGGGGGTTGAAAAGATCAAGTTTTGTCGCCGACCGCAGGTACAAGAATAAATAAGTCATAGAGTGCGGCTCGGCATTTTACTTAAAGAATGACAAAGCCATCATGAACGCATACCTCAATCACCCTTCGAAGGTAGACCTGCTTTGGTTTCAACAGGCTTACTCTCCTTTGCCTCCACCCCAACCTCGTCGTCTTCCGTCAGATCGATCACAGCTTCAACTTTCTTCTTTTCCGCACTTTCCTCCTCTTCCTCTTCACCGTAATCCCGCGGGACAAGTGTCGAGGGCCTCAAATCATATTTACCCTTAGAAGATATGGGTGACTGTTTCTCCAGCAACTTTGTGTCCCCCACTTTGAGAGAACAAGACTCCGTTTTGTCCGTGTGAGAATTGGACTCCATTTTAACTTCGTGTTCAGTGTTTATGATGTCACGTTAGCGCTCTGCAGGTGATTGCGTCACGCTGGATCACGCTTGTCTCGTCGTTTACATCTGTGATAGGAGTAACGTTTACAGAATTTAAAGGCGTAGTTGTAGAATTTGTAGTACTCGTTTCATAAGTTCTAGTTGTTGAGATATTGGTGATGTTGGCTGCGCTTGTATCTGTCGCTTTTTTGTTACTTTCTCTTTGTCTGTGGTTCTGCAAGAGATTAACTCAAATTAAACCTTCCACTCACAGGAATGATCAATTAGTAATTTCTCCTCATACTATTAATACATAGATGCGCAAAAAGGTAAGGAGAAGAAAGAAAACTATTAACTAGATGATGTTGCTTGACCGAGAAGCAACTTCTAAGAACAAAACTGGTGGAAAATATAAGGCAGACGGTGATGAGAATTAATACTGAGATGTTGTTGATGTTGACACGATCTCACACTACAATAAGTTTACATTCACTGTTCTCGCATGCCAAGATCATCACAACATTAATCGATCACTGGTAAATGTATTCTGTTTACATGAAATCGAAATCAGCTTACATCAAATATGTAACAACAATTTCTATAATACCTCAGCGAAGCCAGACGCATGTTTTCCTCAGGAGGACCTGAGCAAAGATGATAAAAGAAACACAGTCAGGTATGCATCTGGCCCCGGTTGTTCAAAGAGTCGATAACGCTATCCACTGGATAAATCGCTATCTTGTACATACCTCAGTATGTCCTGTCAACACTTATCCGCTAGATGGTGATTTATCCGTTGGATAGTATTATCCGTCCTTTGAACTATGTACCCTTCAGGAAGATCACTCAGTTATCGTTCATGCGCTGTTGGACGTTAAGAAAACTTAACAAGAAGGTAACAGACAGTCTTCATCAAAAGAGAACCTACACTAGCTTCTGCAAAAATCATATCGCTGATTTTGCAACTTTAAATCTTGTTCTAAAGTGTATTTTGGTGACATTGAAACATTTTCAAAAAGGTGACACACAAATTGTAGAAAAAAGGGACTTTCATTACGATTTTGAAATTCCAACACTAAACAAATAGATATCGCGTGTAAGAAAAGAAAGAATTTTTTTTGACTCAACTTATTTTATAAATCTCATCATCTGTAACCAAATTTCTCCAATCTTTTTTAATTCACCTTTTCCACTTTGGTCTCAAACTTTTAACTCCCAAGAGTGACCAAGAAAGAATTTCTCCTTACAATATCAATACAATATCAAGCAGAAAAGGCATGGGAATAAAGAAAAATATCAATTAAGGGATTGTTACGTTATCTGATCCAATACCAAATTCCCCAAAGTAACATCATAAGAATTGAATGGCAGACAGTAAGGAGAATTACTAACGAGATCTTGGGAGTAAAATGGGTTAATGAGCTTGGGTTAAAATTTCTTATGATCGAACAAATACAGTTGTCACATCACAGTTTATTGGTCCAAATTTCTTACGCTGAACGTTCGATGTAATGAGTAGGTGCCCATTCATGCTACACCATCCAACTGGAAAAAGATCCGATGATTCCACATCGTAGATGCGTTCCACAGAATCATTCTTGTATCCATCTAGTAACACCCACATGGTGCGTCCTACTACTTGTGAGACCGTAGCTACTGTTATGGTGCTGGGATCTGTTTGATCAAATGCTTCAAGCTTCATTCCGATATCACACTCATGAGCTGGAACTTCCTGTGGATAAATAACTCAAGTTAGATTCTTCATCAAATCAAGCTTCAACTTATGAAAAAAGATGCTCGAGAACAATGCACCTTGCCAAATACTATTTCTGGCTTATAGTGATACATGTTTAATGCTTTCTCGTATGATAAATGTTAGCTCTTTCCCGAACATTACATTATCAACTCAGTTCATCAAACCAAATTATGTTGTCAGAAAAATAGTCTATTCCAGACGTTCCGTTAGTAAAACAAAACAAAATAGTAAAAAGGGGCTATTGTAATGGCGGATGAAAAAGGGAGGGAGCCTGGGTCGACCCGACCCGACCCTCCCTCGCTTTTTTCACTTGTACCAATTTAACCCTTTGACAACATCTAATTTCTCCTTGCAATGTCACCCCTGAATCACACATTAAAGTAATGACAATAAAGGTAATGATTGCCTATGTTACTAAAGAAGCTCTTGATTGTTAAACAAATTCTCTCCTTCACTAACTTAGGAAGTGTAAACAACAGTATGGAGAATATACAACCTGATGTTTGAGTGTAAAGGGTTAAGTGAAATAACCATAAACGTTTCAATTGCAAAAATGAACGTTGATATCAAATGTGTAGTGTTAAAATATTGCATACCTGGGGGTGGGGTAAGTTGAATGTTGTTCTGCACACACCACCCTTCAAGGAAGATATTCTTAGAATTTGAAGTACACCACATGGCAAGTCAGTTGCTGTCACTGCATGTGATCATGCTGTCAATCTCCACCTGGAACTTGCTAGGTATTTTGGTAACCATAGCAGCACAGATGGAAGAAGGATCACTGGGATTCACACCTTCTAGCTTCAAACACTTTGTAAATCCATGCATGTGGCCTTGGCAAGCTGTCAGACTGAAGAAGAGGTACAATTATCAAACATCACATCAAATATACACTGATAGCCCAATTTCAATATTTTCATACTTGGTTTTTATATGATAAGCTGAATTATGCCTGCATTTTGAGCACTTTCTTATGATCTATTGGTAGAGAGATGCACAGAAGACATCTCCATCAACAAAGTTTTCTTTTTCATCATATAAAACAAACAGATTCCATGTTGCCATGGGTTTGTACCGTAACAGATCACTAAACACATCTAAATGTGATTAGAACATCAGGACACACTTGGCTGCATGCACCTCATGCATCACATGTTTTTATCAAGGTTGTAGAATTTTCAAATTCTGTAATGGTACCACAACAGTATGAGATTGAGATTTCTAAGCAGTGACCACTTTAAGGCTGTTCACACTGTATCCTCCCTCAACATAACATTCAAGAATTATTGAGGGCAAATAATCATTGCTAAATATATGCTTTATGCATTTTTATCATAACTAGAGCAAGCTGTTCTACAGCGTAGCTCATTGAGTAAGTGGCAAAGCACTTTCAGATCAAGTGTTGTAGAAAACAAAAACCAAAGCAAAACCAATGCAGTCAAGTATCACTTGTGACACTCAATACAAATTCCTCTACTATGGTCAATATTCAGTCAAGATGGTATACACTGTACAGTGTATTATTTTAAGTGCCTCATTGAGTGACAGGTTATTTGACATCATTTTACAAATACCAAGAAGCCTTCCTCTGATTTGATGGATACCTTGCCCTTAGTCTTAAATGAAATGAAAAAAAATCAACGACTGAATCAAATCAATAAAAGAGAGCCATTGAAAAATCAATCCTAAGAACATAATAATATATTAATAAATTAGATTGAAATGCCCATAAAACAAATCCCTAATATACCATGCAGTACATGTTCACATGTTAACATTAGACCCCAGTTTAAGAAACAGCAGAATGGGGAGATGAATATTCAGCTTTCAAATATGAGAGAAATTTTTCTAACTTTTACTATACATTCTTTTGATCTTGCTGCATGCACTTTTGTCTTTTTACTCAATGTATATACACTTGATAATATAAGTCCAGGCTGATTGATTGCATGTAATTTACACATACATCTTAAACTCAATTGAGAGTCTTCTACACATGCTACACAAACAATGTACAGTAATTGGTGCTCACATGTAATACATGGGAATCATACTCGACTGATGCACAAGCTGCAGTTCATATAAGAAATACTGTGGCATCTTGGCCTCATACTCTTCAGCACTGGTTGAAAAACAGAAGGAGAGTTTGCATTTTACAGGCACATGTACAGTACTTACCAGGAGGAATGTTGAGTCTCAACTTCTTTTTCTTCCCAAGTTGGTGATCAGTATCAGACAGGAAGTAAACCAAAACACCATCAGCTTTATCTTCCAATCCTTCTAGTGGTAACCTGAGTCTCAAGCCATAGGAATCTACCACTGATGCAACCCAGTAACTGAGTGGATCAATTTTTGTGCAGCACTTCTACATGTAACTTCAGTTCTGGTTTCAGCTGATTTTCTTCATCTGGATTTGATCTCTGAAAAGACATCTAGTCACATCTGTAACTGTTTTATTAACCTTTTAATTCCTAAGATCAAATTAGTAATTCTCCTTACTGTCTGCTATACAATTTTAAGATGTGAGTTTGAAGAATTTGGTATTGAATCAACTAATAATCCTCCTAATTCATATTTTTATTAAATTCTCATCACTTGTTTGCTTGATATTGTAATGATATTGTAAGGAGAAATTCTCTCTTGATCACTCATGGGAGTTAAATGGTTAACAGGTACAATTAGCCAATGATAAATTCAAAATGGTTTGAAACAAAGTATCTTCTACTCTGTTTAACTTAACAAAACATCAGAAAATAGAATGGCTTGCATAGTACTGATCTTCACAACATTGCCCCAAATTCAATTTAAACCATCAAAAATTAAAAACATGAGCTACATGTACCACTGAACAGTGAAGAGCAAAGTGTATATGGCAAGATTTCAATAACATGAATAAAGATGAAAATAATTTTTGAGGCATGTTCAATTTCATGATGAAAAATCTGGCACAAAATGCAGTCCAAGATACTCATTAGTTTGGTTGGCTACCTACCCTGTGGAACAAATGAGCCAGTGCACAGACAGCCCCATCCAGATCTTAACCCTTTAACCCCCAAGACTCAGACTAGCATCTAAATTCCTCCTTACAATATAACCCCTGAATCACACATTAAGGTCTTGAGAATGAAACAAATTCTCCTTGTTAGCATCTTAGGACATGTATAGAGAACCTTAAAGAGAAAATGCATGATGATGACGAAGTGTAAAGGGTTAACAATGTTTAATATACTCTTAGGTACAGAAGTTCAAGTTTCTGTGTTATGAATTGAGAACATTGTAACTGAAGATTGATTGGTTACAACCAGATTTTAAATGCTAGTCACTATAGCAGAGAAAAACATAGGCATGCTATGCATGCAAGAGTTATTTTTTGGGGGGTTGGGTGGATTACTTGAAACATTGTAAGTGATGTCTTCATTATTTCAAAAGGAAAGAAGAGTATAAACGCGGAAAAGAATGAAAATGTCGAATTAATTCACACATGTCGTAGATTGTGTGTTGTGCGATCGAATAACTGTGACCAAGATAAACTGTATTGGTGCCACGGATACCTTTTAGTAAAAAATGCAGACTGCAGACCGGATACAAAATGTAGACAGCAGACTGCAGAGTGGGTACAAAATGCAGACTGAGAATCTAAAGAGTTTTTTCGTCTGGTATGTGATAACATGTCATCCTACAACTTACCGAGCGTCACGCAATCGCTTTTCCGCGATCAGCTTTCACGATTATTTGCACTTTTGTGGAATATTCCTGGCCCATTTCTTTACGAAAATCGATCGAAATGTAATTTCAAGCCTTCATATAGTCTTCTTACTTAGCGCGCGAGTTGGTTTGTGTGATGTCTGTGCAGAATTTACCAACGTAATAAAAGCAGATGTAGATGTAAATGTGGGTATCCGGACAACTCGCCCCCTGGACAATTAGCCCTAGACGACTAGCCCCCGGTCTCTGGACGATTAGTCCCCAGTATTTGGACGATTAGCCCCCAGCCTCTGGACTCACCAACCTTGAAATAAACTATGTTCTTGCCCTTTACTTTTTATGAACGTTTCCCTATCATTTATTATGAAATAAACAATGTTCTTGTTATTTGCTTTTTACGAACATTTCTCTGCCATGCGTGTTAAATTATAAAGTAAACTACGTTCTTGCTGTCTTGTTGTTTGCTTGTTATGAACGTTTCTCTGCCGTGCGTATCGAATTATAAAGTGAATTGTGTTCTTTCTGTTTATATATTCTACAAAAATGAACTGTGTTCTTTCTGTTAACATACTTTACGAATGTTTCTCCTTCATGTTGTTTAAATAGGAAAGGAAAGAAACCAGGGACGAAACTTCGAAACTTTAACTTATTGGCGACTACTTGTTAATGTCAATCGGGCGTGTCGCAGGCAGATTACCGCAACGCTGTTAAAACCGGTGCGTCTATCGACTGGCGCTGCTTAACCTGTGACTTCCCTCAGGCCGAAAACACCGCTCTCAGTGAAAATTTAATGAAATCTCAGCATCTGCCAATCCTGACGCTGATTTGGACTCAGAGGAAAATACTAGAGGGTTGGCACAATGGACTGAACCGGCGCGCCAAAGGACGATCACAGCTGCCCCTGTAAATCTTGATCCAGGTACTTCACCGGGAAGCTACACTGGACAGCATGCAGATCCGTCTGGCTTCAGACAAAAAGCTGAAGAGACATCAGCGGTCAAGCTACCGGACCATGCAGAGAAGACTCTTCGACCTCTGGAGTCAATACGAAGACGGCCTAAGGAATTCAAAGGAGCTTCTGGAGGCCTGCGCTCACCTCGTACAACCCATGTAATTTAAATTGAGTAAATGTTAATATAGATAGACATTCACAAAAAAAAGGGCTCCTTTAGGAGCCACAAACTCATAAAAGTCAATGACCAACAAATGAACGTAACTTCTCCTTTACATAGCAGGTAATTTAGTGTTAACAACTGGGTTGAAAACGTAAATTAGCCACCCAGTTGTTAACACTAAATTACCTGCTATACTCTCCCACCGACGCAGCACCACAGTTTCTTTAGAAACTTACCCCTTTATTCTCCTTTACATAAACTAAGACTGGGGGCTAATCGTCCAGGGACTGGGGGCTAATCGTCCAAAGACGGGGGGCTAATCGTCCAGAGACTGGGGGCTAATCGTCTGGGGCTAATTGTCCAGGGGGCGAGTTGTCTGACATTCGTAAATGTGATGTCACCATTGAATATTTAACACACACAACAGTCGAGAAACAATTGACAGCTTTGCACGTGGTCCGCGTTATGTGTTTATTTTGTTGACAAAAATGAGGACCGGGACCAAAACTGTTCCTTCAACTTGATAAATTTTCGAGGCTCGTAGATATTAACTTGCCTCCGTGAATCATTCATTCCATTCCTTCACGATCGGGTCGTAATGACACGTGTTTTTGGGCTCCTGACGTTTTATTGCGTTTTAACTCTTACTGACTGCATAGACGCATAGAACAAGCACTTATACTTGTATATAAAAGTATTCATAACCAGACTCCGAACTACATTCAGGAAATGTTTTCTCTGCGAAGTAATGGTTACAGCCTACGTGGCCATCTTAAGGTTGTTCTTTCAAGACCAACCTCATCTTATATACAACATTCTTTTACGTACCAGGCTAGCAAACAATGGAACAATCTGAGAGACAAAATAAGGATGTCGGAATCCCTTTCTATATTTAGGAAAAATTTGCAAGACATACAGTTGTCCTCATCGTATGACGGCAGCTGTTTGTTTTGTAAACAAATAGTTTAGTCACCGATATTCCCTTTTATTAAATTATTGATTACTTTAATAGTAATTATTCATTCTAGATAATTAATTTTTATTTCTTACCTATTACTCATTACTTATACATGTAAATTATGTCAATTTTTATGGCACATTTGCATTTAAACGAGCAATTCGCTCATATGCGATATGTGGTTAAATAAAGTTACTTACTTACTTTACTTTAGACAACAAAATCAAATAAACATGCTAAAGATGGTATCTGAATTCGTCCTTGGCCAAACACAAACGACTCCACAAGATCACTTTCTCCAGGCATCGAAAACATACACAAAATCGTCCATAATTACTTTTAATTAGACATTCATCTAGAGATGGCACCGAGCAAACCAATCCAGAAAAAATATAATCGGGACAATCAACAAATCATGAATCTTGCAACACTGCTTGCCGTTAAAGAACTGCTCAAATAAAAATGTTTGGTGCAATTCATCAACACCTCAAGCAATATTTGATTCAAAATTTTTCCACTCACTCTCGTCGTGAAGGAACGATAACCATGATCGTGCTACAATGTACAGAACTCTATTTACTCTCGAACAACTATCCACCATTTTCACAGCATGTGTAACATGCTTACTATAGGTAATCTGATATCTTTCATCTGTCCAATAGTATCGCATTTCTCATGAAGCGCGGTAAAATACACGTCAGAAACACAGAAAAGCCAACATTTCTCATTCTAAAAGATGATTCCATTCTACCAATCGCTCTCTCCGAATCCCCCATTACTTTGTTGAAATTTTAACCTCTCAAACGAAAGAACAAAACGACTCTCTGATTGGTGCGAACGAAATGAACAAAACGACTCTCTGATTGATGCTATTTTTTTCTAATAAAAAAAAAACTAAATAATTGTCTTTTCTGCTTTTTTCCACTCATGACTAATAGCTTCTTGTCTATCATGTACCCCCTCATTCCCACGATCTCAATAGTAATTCTCCTTACTATCTGCCAAACAATTATTTTGATATTAGTTAGGAGAAACTGACATTGGATCAAGTAACCACTCACACCCTAAGTAATATATTTCTTTATTCTCATCACTTGTGTGCTTGATATTGTATTGATATTTTAAGGAGAAATTCTGTCTTGGTCACTCCTGAGAATAAAAGGGTTAATAATTCCGCAAGGTACGAAAGATTACAATGCGCATTGAAATTCACATTGTTTTGTTCAAACTGCAGCAACAGCATGCATATTTTTATTTTTTGTTAAAAATTTGTTCCAAATGAGATTAATGTCATCAATATTCTCAGAGAAATGCTTGATTTAATTCTACAGAAACCACAGCGAGCTCTGATACCCACATAAGTCAGAATTGAATGCAGACATCACCGAGTCATTGTTTGAAAAAATCAAAAAAACATTCTTTTAGTAAGAGTCGTTGAAAAATGGGCAGAACCACAAGGGTTTTGAGAGTACCCCTCTTAGTTACTTATATCTGACAAGTTTTAGTCCATAGAATAAGCTCAATATCTTACTCTCCAAAGAGTCTGTAATAACAAGAATTTATGAATAATAAATACATTCTGGAATTCTCGAGGGATGATGAAACCCAAGAAGAGACAAACGAGGGAAAGCAAAGGGGCCGATGAACAAACCGTTCGAGCAGAGGTAATATAACCCCCCTAGAGCCTAATTCATTCAATGATAACCGTTACAAGTTCTTAGTAAAGTAAAGAGCAAGTTTATTAAAAACTGAAAACTAAGTAATGTTAACATACAGAATTCCACTTATATTGACAACGCAATTAGTTAAGTGTTCGTTTCAAACTACAGTATAATAACAGGGAGTTAACATCCATTGCATAGTATCAAAATAAACTTCTTTATTATCACTAATTAGTTTAAACATGTTCAATTAATATTCCACTGATTTTTCAAAGTGTTCCATCATAGTAAAAGAATAAAAAATCCCACAAACATTTCCTGTAATAATGACGAAAATACAAAGTAATAAATTGTTATTTTTTATGTGAATAATTATTTTACGTCACGATTGCTTAACTAAAATCTAGCTTGCTAACTGTTAAGCATGGTAAACAAACCATTTTGTCATATTTGTTTCAATTCCTTCGCCTTGTCGGTTCATGTAACACAAAAACTTTTCTAACAAAGGCTTATCGAGCTAAAAGTAAAGATACTTTTCATTTTCAACTTCGCTAAACAATCAGGCCAGCTACAGAAGCATGCACGTATTAATTATGCAATTATCACAATGTGAAGAACTCCTCATTTAATTTATACAAAATCAAACGAATGATCACCTCTCTTATGCATTTCAACAGTCTGCTAAATTCTACTGGTAAATTAAGTAAATAACACGACTTACAATTATCGAAAATAATGTGTAGTTCAAGGAAAGCTCTCTGGTGCAATCGCTTGACATATTTTGAGCTTTTTGTAGTTCAAGAAACAGTTAACAAATATTTTAGCTCAAAATCAATTTTTATCAAGTCTATCGACCATATAGTCCATAAAAGTCAATCCATTCAAACATTGCGTAGCATTAAGTCCTTAACATTTCCATCTAAGAAGATCCGATTTGTCTAAGTTAAGATATAAAAAAGGTTCCCAAAATTTAGCAACCTTAACAGCGATATACTACGGGTCCCTTAGATCATAAGCTATTTTTCGGCTTCATTATGACGAGTAATTTACCAAAGAAAAGAACAAACGAGAAGAATGTGTCAGTGTAATGGTGAAAATTCTTAGTCGTCAGTCCTGGCCCTCTATTAAAGCATTTTAGGAGAATTTTTGCCAAATGATAAAAAAAAACATGAAGCCTCAACATATCCATGTCGCACTGGTAATGAAATTGTTATTTGTAGATTTATCTCCAAATTTTTACTTCTTTCTTATTGTGTTCAGAGATTAAAATCCGATCATCTGGCATTGTGGCAACACCCCAAAGTCCTTCAAGGGTTACCTTAGCACTTGTCTCGCAAGTAAAAGTTCCCTCCAATGAAAACTGTTGAATGCGTCCATTTCCCGAGTCACATACGAGAAGGTTGCCATACTTGTCAACACATAAGCCATACGGAGAATTCAACTGTCCATCACCGTTTCCTTTTTCTCCAAACTTGTACAAAAACCGTCCCTTGCCATCAAACACTTTCACACAGTTATTATTGCGGTCAGTTACAAAGAACTTTTCCTCGTAACAAACGCAGCTGGTGGGATGATCCAGCCTTTCTGGGCCGCTGTCTCCAAACTTGAACACAGGTTCACCATCCATTGTAAACACCTGAATTCTGCTGTTAGCAAACTCCGCTACAGCGATAAAACGTCCATCACTTGTAATACAAACACTTACAGGATACCCAAACTCTCCATCTCCACTTCTCTTTTTTCCAAAGCTTTTCACAAAGTTCCCTGTCTGAACATTTATCTGCTGTATTCGGTGATTAAATTGATCTGCCACTAGAATCTCGTCATCGTTGAGGAACGTGACGTCAGGCGGATTCGCAAATTGCCCATCCTTGTCACCTTGACCACCAATCTTTCGCACAAACTTTCCTGTCTCATCAAATACCAGGATACAGTGACCATCATAATCAACCACAGCAATAACACCTTTACTGTTCACTGCAATGCCGCTTGGAGCCTGAGGCACTTCTCCCTGAAAGTCCAACTTACCAACAATGTTAAACTCTCGTGCTTTGACCACAATAGTAAAAGGACTCTTGACAAGTCTCTGTCCGTTTACCTTAACTTCTATTTTATATGTACCTGGTACTTTCACCACAAATTTTGCCTGGAAACATTCATCTTCTTTTTCACTCGTCACCAAACTCCTCACTTGATCAGCAGGGTCTATGTGTATTTCAACACGATCTGTGTGCTGAGTGTTTCTGATTTCTCCTTCACTTGTTTTGGGACAAATCAGCAGCTCTGCTTTTACACCAGCTTGAAAATTCTGATCCAAGCCTTCCACGGTCGATCCTTGCACATCTTTTTCGCTGAATTTCGTAAATCCCAGACTCAAACTCTCTGGTTCACATGTCCACACAAACTCCACGCACGAGCTAACCGGAAGTGCAGGCATTGTGGTCTTGATGAGGTCTTCAATTCGTTCTTGCACATTTTTCTTGTTTTGCATTATGTCTGAGCTTGAGCTCCTCTCAACCAGGTTGTTACTGAACTCAAATGCTTGGTCAAGTTGCTTTTCAAAAGACACAACCGATGCTTTTCCAGAATGTAATTTCGCAATCCTCGACACGCGAGACTTCTCGAGGGTAGTAATGGCTTCACGCTCAAGTTGGCGAAGCTTTTCCATCATCTGTTCGGTTGCTTGGGAAACTCGGCGTTTAGCTGTGCTAATATTTGTTTCCAACTCATGCTCCGTCTTCTCAAATTCACGAATAACATCTCGGCAGACCTCTTTCTTCTCTTTTACAAGCTCGGCTCGGGCAGTGATGTTTGCTTTTTCATCGTCTGCTGCCTTTTCAAGCGGAACAACATCATGGCTTTTGTGATCTGTGTTAATACAAACTTGACAAACACAGCTTTGACATACCACGCAGAAAAACTTCGTTACCTTTTTCTCGTGGTACTTCTCCGAGCAAAACGATTGCCGTTTCAACAAGGCCTCGTAGTCTGCAGCTTGAAACTGTCGAACTGGTGTGACTTTGTGTCCCTGAAATATAGTATCTCGAAACACTTCGTGTGCTTTCACACAGTCGGGGCACATAAACTTCTCGCAATCGAAGCAGTAATTGATCTCAGCGCTCTTCTTCTGGCATGTACTACAGCTGATCTCGCTTCCTTCGCCACTGCGTCGAACAGCAAGAAGACTCAACAAACTGTTGTGCAGAAAACTGCTTGGCAGATTATCAAAACGCTTTCCTTCGGGGATGCCAATTTGTGCCTGACACTCGGGGCATCGATAAAACCCTTGTTTTTGGCTTGTTAAGGCATGTCGCTCCAGGCATTCACAGCAGAACGTATGAAGGCAAGCGATGGTCTTGGGTTTGGTGTAAGTATCCAGACAAATCGAACATGTTACATGCTCTTTGAGGTTTTTAAGAAGCGACTCCATCACGAATTTCAGAAAAAAACACAGCCGCGAAATGTGTTTTAGATTCCGAGAAGGCTTGCCTGAGGAGGCATCCTATTTAAAGCAACCAATCAGATCTCTTCAAGACAGCCCTCGTGATTCTAAAATTGATCTCTACAGATGTCGTAATTTTTTACCTTGGGTGTCCTTGATTCCGAGAAAACGTGACTTAATTAAGCATACTATTTTAACCAGGGAATCAAAGCTCTTTAGGATCTCGTGATCTCGGAGTAAAAGTTGACAATTTAACAGTCTTTATTTTCAAAGCGTTTTTCCTAGTTGATTATCAAATTGATCACAAGTTTTCATTGTCTACAACCTTAATGATCATAGAAATGACGTCAACCATGTTCAAAACAAAAGTGAAATCACTCTGCCGCGCCTCGTAGTTTCACTGCAAAATTATGGGGACAGGGCCTTTTTCATATCATGGCTTACCTTTGGTTTTTAATAAAGGACATTTTCCCTTTTCGGATTTTTCATGATAAGAACTTGCTTTAATATTTTGGAAAAGCAAACAGTCAAACGCGCGAATGTAAACAAGGCCCGAAATAGAATCCACGGGTGAAACTGTTTACCGCAAAAAAAGGTCATCAGGGAGTTAACGCTACACGGAGACTTTAAACAATTGAAATAAAGTGTTATTTCTACGTCAACATTAGCTTTTTTCTCAAAGCTCAAGTGTGTTTTGAGGTCTTCGATTAAATGTTTCGAATTTGTTTGTTTAAGTAGTAATCTTTAACTTGATTAACAAAATCAAAGTCTGTCGGCAAAAGTACCTGAAGTAAATTTAATTTAATTATCAGCCACCAAACCAATTAGCTTAGGCTTGTCGGAAAATAATATGTGCTAATGAGAGGATACTTGAGGGTATTTATATGATTAGGCTGTCAAATAGAAAACTAAACACGGGTTTCATTTCGAGTCTCAGCCGACAAAACAAGCTCCCCTTCTTCAAATGATTCGGGAAAGTAATGTTAGAAGTGTTCCTTCCTTTCGACCCAAGAAATGCAAAGCCGAGTTAGCTATAAGCGAAAGATATTTCCTTCTCTTGCCATGTTGTTCACATGGAATTAATCACGCGCGTGCTCTCCTTGAAATACCATAAATATGTTACTCATGAAAACAACTGTCTATTTAAGTCGAAGTCGCTAAAAACAACACTCTCGGGATTGTTAAGCGAGATGTCTGGCGCCGAGAACACAAAGCTCTTCAAGATCGCGTGATTTTATTTCTTCCGTCGCGTGACTGCACGTGTTGACGAGTTCAATCGTCACGAAATTAAATTTGCATGATAACCCTTGTTCGAAGAGAGACATGAGAGCAACGAATCAATCAGCTCAGTTTGGCTGAGGTCTCCTTAAAAGTATATACAGATATGGGAAGGTGCTGACAAGGAGAATGTGTTTAATAATCAAGAGTTCTTTAGTTTAGTGATCATTTCCTCCACTCTTGTTACCTTATTGTTTGATTCAGGTGTGATTTTGTGACGAGAAATTGGATACTAGTTACCCTCATGGGTCAAAATGTAAGGAAAAAAACTTTTGATAAGGCAATTACCACTTAGTCATACCAGCTACATTTTCAGTAAGGACTGCTAAAATGCACGGAGGTCACAATTAAAAACCAATGAAAAGGATATAATTTAGGCCACCAAGAATAAATTGTTACAAGACTGAAGATACAAGAACCGGCGAAAGGTTTCGTTGATGATATCGTACTACTGCGCATTACACCAACATACAAACTCTGCACCTTACAACAATACTACTGTTTAAGAGAGAAAATATAATGAAGGGGAAGTGAGGCTTGGGAATCTTCAGGCCAAATCTTCTCGTGTTTCAAATTTGGCAAACAGGAATTTTTTCTTTCGCGTAACCTCGTGTGTTTCAATTTTCTTGAAATGTTAATTTTTATTTTATCATGGTTTGTTTACTTTTGTCTTGTTTGTTTGTTTTTTGAGGGGGAGGGATGGTTTAGAGGTTGAATTGAAGGGATTTATGTGTAAGTACGCTTGCTGTGTATCAATTTTTTTCCTCGCATAATTTGAACCTTCAAAGATTCTTCCTTCCCCCCCACCCTTCCCCTTCCCCATTCTTCCTTCCCCTCCCCCCCACACACACACACACACACACTGCTACAACTACATTTAAGGTCTCTGCACATGATCTTGGATGACCTCTAAAACCAAGACACTACGAAATCTTGAAATCACAGCACAGATCGAGATATTTTCATACTTGCACGTTCACTTGTTAGTACACTGCTGATATGAAGTCGAAACGATTCTGAGCTCTGCAAACGTGCAGTCAGTTGAGAGATGCAGTGAGAAGACTTGAGGCGAGTTTACACTCCAGTCTTTAAGCCTATCATTACCGCAATCTCAGCAAATAGTACTTGTAAAAAAATAGTCTTCGTAAACAGTAACCAATAGTACGTAGTAGAGGAATTGTAGACTTAATAATGAAGACCGCTGTCTTCAAAATTTAAGCGGTGAATGGTGGGCTTACGTACGTTCCCAGTATCCACCGTACCAGATTAGATTTCCCTGTAATAGAGAATTTTTTTCCGATGAGGAACGTTTCCTTAAGTAAGGGACGCAATGCAAAGGCAAATGCGCCATTCAGACCCGGCTTGAAACCGATAAGAAAGTTATCGAGGAGTTTGTAGACCACAAAGCTTCATAAAACACACACGATAAACGGACCTTCCGCACCCTCATTCTCAGGACTGGAGGCCCAAATCATAGAATGCGTCGTTGGAATGAAATGTAACAGCCTGTGTTATCGAGGTTTCTTTTTCAGTTTCTGTACAGTAAAGTGAAGTTTAATGGCGGGTCCAAGAGTTACTCCAAGACACTTGTGAATCTCGTCTAAGGATAGTAACGTTAAAGCTCGACCGTCGATTTCCTGCGATGTGGAGAAAGAAAAATAATTTTGTTCATCTATATACTCCCTGAAGTTTTTATCGACATGTAACTTCTACTCAAGGACTTGTCGTTATTTACAGCGTGAAGAAGAGGGGGGAAAGGGAGGGAGGGAGAATTTACGTTGTGTACCAATAAAATTTACTTAACCCCCCCCCCCAACTCACTGGAGGATATGTAACGCCATCGGAACTCGGTAGTGAGCTGTTAAAATAGATGGGTACGATGGTGGGTTAGGGGAGGGGTAGGTGGGCAGTTGCCCAGATACTGATATTGATCCCAATATTCTTTACTTCCTCCCTTTACACTCTTCGACCTCCTCCCGATAAATTTTATGTAGTAAGATAAATTCTACCATTTCAGAATTATTTACAAAATATTGGGGACTAAAAGGCACTAATCAGGTAACATACAGTCAATAAATGTTGACCTCGATATTTTAACACGAAAATCGACCTCAGACTTGAGTGAATCCCTCATAAAAAGAGACATCTTGCCATCTTATTAACAATAGTAATAAAACCTCGCTGTTACCTGTCTCTGAAACTCGTCTGCAAACTTAAAACAGTCAGTTGTTCTTATGAAATCCACTACATCTTGAACGCTCCATTGAGATACGTTTTTTGATGAACGCGAACCCGAAATACTCGGTGATCCCGAGGGTTCGGGTCTGGGGGGCTCTGGAGGGAGATTCTTTACAAAAGGTGCAGCTTTCGGGATATTCTTTGCTTTAGGGAGGGCAATCTTCAGAACGGGAAGGGACTTTGCGGGTTGACCTGCAGGATTACCCGCGGGATAACCCACCAGATGGCTATCTACTTTAGGGACGGCTTTTCTTATTGGGGATGGTGTGTCGTTCAAGGGTGACGTCGCTGGACTTGGTGTTGTCGGCGATTCGTAATTTTTGCGGAGAGATGAAGCGGGTGGAGAAAGAGGAACTGAAACAGAACAAAAATTAAAACATAAGTTTAAAAGTTCAAGTGAAAAGACAGTCAAAATTTGGGGTCAGACAAAACTTTCTCGTATCTGATATGATTAAGATACGGGAAAAATAATATTAGCCCGAAAGGTGGTGTGGTCGATTGATGAAGTCACTTAATTCGGAATCCCGAAGTCCTGAGTTCGAGTCCCGCTACGACAAAAAGCGAACCTATTCCTCAGCAGTTCCCTTAGTGGTCCCGTGTTCAATTTTCCCCGACCACGCTTGTACACAACCAAATGACTTGACTTCTTCCTACCTGGGCTTTAAACCAAGTTGACTTTGATTTGGAGTACAAGTAGCAGTTGTCTGAGAACACTTTTCTTAACCTTTACTTAACCCACCCTAATGTTGCCTTTTACAAAAACTTGACGATCAATTCCGGCTTTTGGACGGGGTATTAGAACACAATTTTACCCGGAGAATGATGTTAAAGCTTCGAATTATCGATGCATAATTCTAACCTTTTTGAGCATCACAGTGCGCACACAGTGCGACTTTATTCAAACTGATGAGATTCTCGCACAAAGAGAGTTTGTTTTTTAACGTCTGCAATAGAAAATAACAAACATCAAGCTCGTAAAGATAAAGGCGGAGAAGCGATATGATTCTGTAATTGACTGAGTCCACCTGTCACACAGCGGTGTTGCTTTGCACTAGGTGTCTGACGTCACAAACCACTGGATACCCACGTTGGAAGTCGAGCAAACATGACAAGGACTGTGAAAATAATCTAAGGAATATTTCAGAAAATAAACCATGGTGACTGTCAACTAAGACGACTTCCTTCAGCTTCTTTATCTATGCTCTTCGTTTACTATTGAATATCCTAGACTGAATTTAAAAATATATGGATTTAAGTCGTGGGCGAGCTGGCTGGTTCACTTTCACCCTTTCGCCATCCGTGCTCTCGAATCTACCTAAGCTCAAAAACCCTACAGAAAAGAACACAGTACCTTCAAAATTGAAGCAATAGTCATTTTATCAGTCTCAGAAGCAAGCAGCTTCAGAACTTGTTTCGACGAATGAGCGCTGAGAACAATTTGCTCAACAAGTTGTCTTAAGACAATATTGGGACCCGCTGGACCAATGACAGCAGGAAGACTTGCTACTTTAGCTTGCTTAAGAAACGGGCCCGGTTCACAGGATTTTTTGACATAAATACAGATCCCTATAAAGGAAAACAAAAGCAAATTTTTGAAGAAAGATCAACATAGAGTCTACCATGTAGAAAGATTTTCTTCTCGTCTTGCAACAAGCGTGAAATTAAGAAAAAATTCTAACTCTTTATAACGAATGGAGACTCAGATCTTCGAAATCTGCACTCCGATTTTCTTCCACTGAACCACAAAAAGTCTCTATGGCGACTGAGCTACGTGACACGCGTTTAATACACTCCTAAGATCAGCATTTTTGGAAGCGTCGTGTGAAGAAATAGAATAGGACGATAATAAAACACAGAAAGATGTTTTTCATCTTTTCGTGAGCAAGGGGAAGGACGATTTCAAGTCTCCTTCGTAGCCGTTATTTGGTCCCTTCACGCAAGGAGGACAGAAGGTGGTGTGTGCCGTGACAGAACAGCGGCTACCTAGGAGACTACATTCAGTATCAAAATTAGTTGACACATTATGTTTGAAGAGTCCTATCTGTCTAGAATAACACTCCTGTTTAACCACATTCTTAATTAATGAGACCCCCCCCCCCTTCTACCATTCAATGTTGCCTGTATTTAGTTAAAAGTTCAACATTGTCTTTTGTTTGTTTTGTTTTGCTTTGTTCTGTTTCTTTTATGGGGGGAAGGGGAGGGGGCAAGTAGGTTAACTTAAATACGGTAAAAGAGATAAAATTGTAGTAACAGGGGGTTGAAAAGATCAAATTTTGTTCCCGATTGTAGCTACAAGAATAAACAAGTCATAAAACAAGTGATAAAGTGCGGCTCCACATTTTACTTAAAGAATGACAAAGCCGTCATGAACGCATACCTGAATCATCCTTCGAAGGTAGACCTGGTTTGGTCTCAACAGGCTTACTTTCCTTTCTCTCCACCTCAACCTCGTCGTCTTCTGTCAGATCAATCACAGCTTCAACTTTCTTCTTTTCCGCACTTTCCTCTTCTTCCTCTTCACCGTAATCCCGTGGGACAAGTGTCGAGGGCCTCAAATCATATTTACCCTTAGATGATATGGGTGACTGTTTCTCCTGTGACTTTGTGTTCACCTCCTCGAGAGAACAAGACTCCGTTTTTTCTGTGTGAGAATTGGACTCCATTTTGACTTCGTTTTCAGTGTTTATGGATGTCATGTTAACGCTCTGCTGGTGATTTGTGTCACGCTGGATCACGCTTGTCACGTTGTTTCCATCTGTGACAGGTGTAACGTTTACAGAATTTAGAGGCGTAGTTGTAGAATTTGTAGTACTCGTTTCATAAGTTCTAGTTGTTGAGATATTGGTGATGTTGGCTGTGCTTGTATCTGTCACTTTTTTGCTACTTTCTCTTTGTCTTGTGGTTCTGCAAGAGATTAACTCAGGATTAATAGGTGATTTCTCCTCACAATATCAATACATAGTTGCGCAAAAAGGTAAGGAGAAGAAAGAAAACTATAAACTGAAGAATTTTGCTTGATCTATCAGCACATTCTCAGAACAAAACTAGTGAGAAATATAAGGCAGACGGTGAGGAGAAGTCACACCGAGATGTTGTTGATCAGAGTAAATTCACTGCTCTCGCATGCCAACATCATCACAATATGAATAGTTCACTGGAAAATGTGTCCACTTTTATCATATCGAACACCAGCTCACATTCAATACGCAATAACGATTTCTAAAATACCTTAGCGAAGCAAGACGCCTGTTTTCCTCGGGAGGACCTGAGCAAAGATGACAAAAGAGACACAGTCAAGTATACATCTGGCCCCGGTTGTTAAAAGAGTCGATAACTCTATCCACTGGATAAATCGCTATTGAGTACAACCTGCAGTATGTTCTGTCACAATTATCAGTTGGATAGTGATTTATCCGTTGAATAGCATTATCCGCCTTTTGGAATAAGACCTTGTACCCTTACGACATTTTCAGGAAGATCACTCAGTTATCGTTTCTCATGATCGAACAAATACAGCTGTAACGTCACAGTTTATCAGCCAAAATTTCTTACGCTGTATTCTCGGTGTAACGAGCGGGTGCCCGTTCATGCTACACCATCCAACTGGAAAAAGATCCAATGATTCCACATCGTAGATATGTTCCACAGAGTCATTCTTGTATCCATCAAGTAACACCCACATGGTGCGTCCGACCACTTGTGAGACCGAAGCTACTGTTATGGTGCTGGGATCTGTTTGATCGACTGCTTCGAGCTTCATTCCGATATCAAACTCATGAGGTGGAACTGCCTACAGTGGATAAATAACTCAAGTTAGATTCTTCATGAAGTCAAGCTTCACCTTACGGAAAAAGATGCACGAGAAAGATGCGCCTTACCAAATACTATTACTAGCTTATAGTGATATATGTGAGATGCTTTCTCGCATGATAAACGTTAATTCTTTCCCCAAAATCAAATGCACGAGCAAAACCAATATTGTACCAATACACAACACACCTGTTGGATTCACAATTTTATCAATTTTTTTGTCAATCACAGTTGTTTTTAAGTTAAGAGCATTACCAAAGTAAACAGAGAGTCGGCAGCTGCAGTCGAGTTTGTATGTTCAAGGTATGTCTGCCAGTTGAAGGGATGAACAAGATATCCTGCCGAGAAAATACAATTACAAAACATAAGATAAAGTGAAAAATATAAAGACGTTCACAAGTTTACACAAAGAAAACTGGGGTGGAACGTTGTAAACGCACATACTAACAATTGTAAGAAAAGTTAAAGGGTGTAGGCTTCTACAGAAACTGTGGTGCTGCGTCGGTGGGGAAGAATAACCAGATCATTTGGTTTCATCAACTGTGTTGATAATGTAGATTGATCACCGGAAAGAATTTATAAGGCCGACGTTTCGAGCGTTAGTCCATCGTCACTCGCTTTGATAAAGGGCTTAGACTGAAGCGTCAGCTTTAAACACTCCTTACGATGGCCAGTCTATATTATCAACTCAGTTGATTAAACCAAACCATTATGTAAGAAAAATAATGTATTCTAGGCGTTCAGTTGGTAAAACAGAACAAAATAGTAAACGGCGCTATTGTAATGGCGGATGAAAAAAGGGAAGGAGTTTGGGTCGACCAGACCCAGCCCTCCCTCGCTTTTTTCACCTTGCCGCCACCGGTTATGGCGCTGTATACCATCGCCCTGTAAAATCCATTGAAAGCATAAAACAGCATTATCATGAATGCTGTATGTGCCCACAGACAATTCACGACATTTCTGATCTGGCAGAATACAAGATGCATCAAACACAAACCAACAAACTTGATCTCAAGGGTAGGAAACATTTTTCTGAACTTGACTTTTTGCCACTCCTTCACCCTGCGCAATGTTGAAAGAACAATTTTATACCCTGAATTTTGCCTAAATTGCAATAAATTTTCAGTGGCTCAGAAAGAACACTCAGATGGTGGTAAGACGCACCATAACTTGTAATCATGATCAAGGACACAAAATAGTTTTTTTCTCAAGAGCTCGTAAGAAGTGATTCCAAACAACTTCCTTTCTACATTCGGTGAACAGTTCAATACCAATTTAACCCTTTGACAACATCTAATTTCTCCTTACAATGTCACCCCTGAATCACACATTAAAGTAATGACAATAAAGGTAATGATCGCCCACTAAAGAAGCTCTTGATTGTTAAACAAATTCTCCTTGTCAGCACCTTAGGAAATGTATAGACAACAGTAGGGAGAATATACAACCTGATGTTAGGGTGTAAAGGGTTAAGTGACATAACCACAAATGTTCCAATTGCAAAAATGAACATTGATATCAAATGTGCAGTGTTAAAAAATTCCATACCTGGGGGTGGGGTAAGTTGAATGTTGTTCTGCGCACACCACCCTACAGGGAAGATTTTCCTAGAATTTGAAGTACACCACATGGCAGGTCGGTTGCTGTCACTGCATGTGATCATGCTGTCAATCTCCACCTGGAAGAAGAACTCGCTAGGAATTTTGGTAACTGTAGCAGCACAGATGGAAGAAGGATCACTGGGATTCACAGCTTCTAGTTTCAAACCCTTTGTAAATCCATGTGGTCTTGGCAAGCTGTCAGACTGAAGAAGAGGAACAGTTCTCAAACATCACATCAAATATAAACTGCTAGCCCAATTTCAATATTTTCATATTTGGTTTTTATAAGATAAGCTGAATTATGCCTGCATTTTGAGCAGTTCTTTCTCATGATCTATTGGGGGACAGATGCACAGAAGACATCTCCATCAACAAAACTTTTCTTTTTCATCATATAAAACAAACAGATTCCATGTTGCCATGGATTTGTACAGTAACAGATCAGGTGCTAAGTACATCATGTACTACATTCTTGTTCTCACCACATTTTGATGCCATCGAGGTTTAGAATTTTCAAATTCTGCATTATGGTACCATAACGAAAAGAGATTGAGATTTCTATGCGCCAACCACTTTAAGGCTGTTCACAAAGTATCCTTCCTCAACATAACATCCAAGAAATTCAGGGTATATTATCATTGCTGATGCTAAATGTAATTATGCTTTATGCATTTTTGTCATAACAAGAGCAAGCTGTTCTACAGAGTAGCTCATTGAGTTGGTAGCAAAGCACTTTCAGATCAAGTGTTGTAAAAAAAAAAAAAAGTAATCACAACTGTGGATGATATTGAAAGTGTAACAAATAGGAGTAACATAAAAACAAGAAAACTGGTTGTAGTGCCAGAAATGCAAGTGAAGAAGTCATGACTGGTTTTGGTTTTACATGTGGTTGGTTGAAAGAGTGACCCACAATTTCTTGACCAATCACAGATTGCAGTACAGCAAAGCCAACACAATCGCATATCACTTGTGAGACTCAACTCAAATTCCTCTACTATGATCTCTATTGGGAAGATGGTATACACTGTACAGTGTACCTTGTTTAGTGCCTCGTTGAGTGACATGTCATTTGATGTCATATTACAAATACCAAGAAGCCTTCCTCTGATTTGTGCCCAGTCTTTTGATGGATACCTAGTCTTTAGATCTTCAATGGAATGAAAAAAAAATCAATTACTGAATCAAATCCATAAAAGGGATCCATTGAAAAATCAATCCTAATCAATCCTATTAACATAATCATTTATTAATAAATTAAATTGAAATGTTCATAAAACAAATCCCTAATATACCCAGTACATGTTTGTTAACAAGACCCCAGTTTAAGAAACAGTAGAATGGGGTAATGAGTATTCTGCTTTCAAATAAAAGATAAATTTTTCAAGCTTTAACCAGACACTCTTGTAGTCTGACTACGTGCACTTTTGCGCATGCATTTGATAAATTCAGGCTGATTGATCACATGTAATTTACATACATCTTAAAGTCAATTGAGAGTCTGATCACACACAATCAGGCACATGTAAAACACGCATACACTTATGCACAAGTAATTCATATAAGAAATACCAGGAGGATTTTCAGGCATGTTGAGTCTCAACTTCTTTTTCTTCCCCCAACCAAGTTGGTGAACAGTGTCTGACAGGAAATAAACCCAAACATCATTGGCTTCATCTTCCGATCCTTCTAGTCGTAATCTTAGCCTCAAACCATAGGAATCTACCACTGATGCAACCCAGTAACTGAGTGGATCATTCTTGTGCAACACCTCTAACTTCAATCCTGGCTTCAGCTGATTTTCTTCATCTGGATTTGATCTCTGAAAACACACCCAGGCACATCTGTAACTGTTGCAGAAACTTTTTTATTTCCAAGAACAAATTACGGTAGTAACTCTCCCTACTGTCTGCTTTACAATTCTAAGATGTAGGTTTAGAGAATTTGGTATTGAATCAACTAATAATTCCCTGATTGATTAGGGGATTCTAAGTTAATATTTTTTATTCTCATCACTTGTTTGCTTGAAATTGTATTGATATTGTAAGGAGAAATTCTCTCTTGATCACTCATGGGAGTTAAATGGTTAACAGGTACAATTAGCCAATGATAAATTCAAAATGGTTTGAAACAAATCTAATTAGTATCTTCTACTCTGTTTAACTTAACAAAACATCAGGAAATAGAATGGCTTACATAGTGCTCATCTTCACAATATTGCCCCAAATTCAATTTTAACCATCAAAAATTAAAAACATGAGCTATATGTACCACTGAACATTGAGGAGCTAAGTGCATAAAATGGTGACATTTCAGCAACATGACTGAAGATAAAAATAATTTGTGAGGCATGTTCAATTTCATAATGAAAAACCTGGCACACAATGAAGTCCAAGATGCCCAGCAATTTAGTTGGTTACCTACCCTGTGGAACAAATGAGCCGGTGCACAGACAGCCCCTTCCAGATCTTGCTTTAGAAACTTAGCCCAGTTTGACTCCTTATGCCTGATGGCTATATAATAATATTTATACATTAACAATGCCCTTTTGAAATCATTATAAGGGTTAATAATGGCTTACATATTCTTAGGTTATAAACAGAATTTAAATGCTAGTCCCCAGCAGGAGAAAAACTTGTCTCATTTTTTTTCCTTCTGTGCTTTTTTTGCACTCATGACAAAACCATCTTGTCTATTAACCCCCTCAATCCCAAGATCTCAATTATAGTAATTCTCCTTAATATCTGCCATACAATTCTTCTAATGTTAGTCAGGAGAATTTGGCATTGGATCAACTAACTGAATCAACTACATTAAATAATATATTTCTTTATTCTCATCACTTGTCTGCTTGATATTGTATTAATATTGTAAGGAGAAATTTTGTCTTGGTCACTCCTGAGAATGAAATGGTTATTGAGTTCTCAAGGTGGGAAAGATTATAATGCACATTGAAATTCCCATCAATTTGTTCAATCTGCAGCAACAACAGAAAACTTTTTTTATATATTGTTAAAAATTGCTTCCAAATGAGTTTACTGTAATCAATAACAGGAACCACAGTAAGCTCTGATGCCCACATGAGTCAGAATTGAATGCAGACATCACTGAACAATGTACACTGTGAACATTTCCGATGTGTTATTTCATATACCTGCAGGAGGGATAAGTATGTGATTATTTCTTGCACACCAGCCAACAGGTTGAAGATCATCAGATGCTGCATCACACCAGAAGTCTCCACTGCGATCATCATCATAGCCATCATACCGTAACAGAAGCAGTGGTCCAGATGCCATGACAACTGTAGCTACCCAGTAGGTATCAGCCTCTAATGATGTACGATCCATGGATTCCAACTTCATACCAGGAACAAACCCTTGGACTTTTGTGTCTTGTACCTGGAGCAAAATAAATGTAAATACATGTCAAGGAAAAAAATTAACTTCCACTTTTTTTCTCCACAAGTAGCTAAGTGATCACAAAGCAACAGAGATAGGAGAATTCTCCTGCATTTATATGGAATTTTCTGACTAAATTCTCATGAAGTGAGTTATATTCTATTCAGACATAAAGAGTATTCTCCTTTGACTAAATAATATTCCCTTGCTGGTATATTGCTCCAAGAAAACCCTGTAACAGTGGAGACAAAGAGGGTTTTCAACCCTGCAGGAAGCACACTCAGACCTATCACATTCCTTCTTTTGGGTGGATATCAGGCTTATCTATTCTTCATTTAACCCTTTAACTCCCATGAGTGACCAAGAGAGAAGTTCTCCTTAGAATGTCAATGCAATATCAAGCAGATAAGTGATGAGAATAAAGAAAAGTAGCCATAAGGGGATTTTTAGTTGACCCAATACCAAATTCTCCAAACGAACATCATATAAGTTGTATAGCAGATAGTAAGGAGAATTACTGATGAGATCTTGAGAGTAAAAGGGTTAATAGGTTGTGTCTAGTACATGCAGTGAAAATGAAAAAGCATTTACAATTACATGTACATCTACATGTATTAATGCTTACATGTTTAAATGTTTCCTTAGGAACAGCCTTAGCATGATACTTTTTTAAATATTCTTCCCAGGAAAAGAGCTCTTCATCTTCTTCATCTGACCCTGTAATAAAGAATGACATACATATCACTGCTATGACAGTATGACCTTTGCCCTTTACACCCTGACATCAGTATCTATATTCTCCACCCTGTTCTTCATACATTTCCTGCAGAGCCAGAAAGGAGAATTAATTTAACAAAAGCTTCTTTTAATGGCGATCATTTCCTTAATTCTCATGACCTTCCTTTTTTGATTCACAAGTGAAACTGCAAGAAGAAATTAGAAGCTAGTCACTCCAAGGTTCAACAGGTAAATGAATCCACCCAAAATTCACAATGAATAGTAAAGTTGTGCACAACTACAGCAGTTCTCTAAGCTGGATTTATATGATGATATTTGGCAGCAGGCAGATGCGTGCAAAATTGCAATTTCGCTCCCTTTCCATTATGGGTGAGGACATCGTCCCCGCAGACACCGCCAAAGACCTTGGTGTGATTTTGGATTTTAATTTAACTTACGATGAACACATAATTAAGACCGCTTCCTCGTGCATGTCCCGCCTCGGCCAAATAAACCGTGTCAAGCATGTTTTCGACAAACGTACACTTTTGATGATTATTAATTCCTTAGTTTTCAGCAGGTTATTTTATTGTTCCAATGTTTGGTCAAATACCTCAAAATGTAATGTTGACAAGTTACAGGCGGTGCAGAACTTCGCATGCCGCATTGTTAGATGGTGCGCGTAAATTTGACCACGTTACACCAATTCGCAAGGAACTAAATTGGCTTTCAGTTCAAAGCCAGCTTTACTACCGGAACGCTACTATGGCCTTCAGATGCATGACTGGTCAGGCTCCAGATTACCTCTCATCAAAATTCATAAAGCGAGCCGAGGTTAGTCGACGTAGCACCAGAAATTCGCAGCTTTTGCAAATTCCATTCTTTAGAACAGCTAGCGGTCAGAGAACATTTTTCTATAGAACTGTAAACTTATGGAACTCTTTGGATAATTCCTTTAAACTGTGCAACTCCGTTAAGGTTTTTAAAAAACGTTTAAGGACCAAATTACTCAAAGAGTTGTAATTTTATATATTTGTATGCTTTTATTTTTCTTTTAGAACATTCAGATTTTAAAACATTTTTAATTGTAAATAGGATTTTTTAATTGTAATAGGATTATTTTTATAACATTGTCTTTGAAAAGCCCCCTTGGGGAAAGTCAATAAAGTATGTTGTTGTTGTTGTTGACTCACTGTATGCTCCAACATGCTTTACAACACCTTGAAGGGGGACTTTGACCAGGCTAAGTTGAGCAGCTTACAATTATGCAGCTGCCCCCACTTTTATGAACAACAACACACCACAACACCAAGAACTAGGTTCCCTACTCTCTGGGAGATGTGAGTGGGTTCCTTTACTTCCCTTACTAACCAGTACAGAGAGAATAAGGAAGAGGGGGACCTACATGTACTGTATACATCATTGTCCTCATCCAAAAATACTAGAACATGAAACCATTTTCAGATGTAAAAGCAAAGGCAGCACTTTCTCCACAGTTACACTGTATTTTAAGACCCTGAGTGTTGCACCAGTCTGGGATTGATCCCTTAACCCTTGAAGTCCTACTAGTGATATAGAAAGAATTTCTCCTTACACTATCAGTACAATATCAAGCAGACAAGTGATGAGAATAAAGAAAAACACCAATCAGGGGATTATTAGTTGATCCAATTCCAAATTCTCCAAATTAACATCATATGAACTGTAAGGCAGACAGCAAGGAGAATTACTGATAAGATATTGGGAGTTAAAGGGTTAACCTCCTCCACAACAGTCTGGCACTCTACAACATGAGCTACCAGGCAGCTAAAATGACAACATAACCCTTGACCTTACCTGATCCATTTTTTAATGATTTCTTTGCATTCCTAGCAACATCCTCAATACTTTTCTTTCGTTTGCGAGTCGCAAGATCTCTGTCCATCATTACTTCATCCTAAATCTTCTTCTCTACAATGTCATGATCACTGCCTGTTGTGCATGTAATGACCTGGAACAATAAATAGAGTCAGACCTGTAAATCAAGTGAGGCCAGGTATGCTACGATAATTTAGTTTTCCAAGCTTTTGCCAATCTACGGCATCATCAGGGAACATAGATGGATGATAGGGGTTAAACAGGGTCAAGAATTAATGAAATATTCCTGTCCATCAGAAGTTTTGAATACAATAATTATAAATCAGAGATTCAACACAGTCACAATTTAGTGTCAAAACATGCTAGGATATTTGTCCACTGCAAGAAGCAAACAGTTTTCCTATAGTGAAACTCAAAGAAAAGTGTTAGCATTAGCATATTTCACACCAAATAGTGGCTACTGTGTTTATAATCTGTCAAATACATTTTTTTTTTAAGAGCATACAGTACAAAATGTTCAAAATACCTTACCCTATAAAAGAAATGTTGACTTTTCTGGGTGACCATAATTATAAAAAACAATTTTATTTCTTTTCTGAATCAACACCAAAACTTTCTACTAATTTGAAACCACTCCTAATGAAAGACAATTGGTGCATTAGATGCCAGGATTGGAAATTGGAAAAGATCACTGCAGGAATATCACCAGTAATAATCAAAAAAAATATTTTTGCTTGTGCCCAATTGTTCAAAATGCATCACATGACTGAATATCCCCCAACTAAAACTGGAGATATCCAAGGATATACCCCATGTCATACTCCCCAATTTTGAAACCTTGCGTCTAATACAGAAAACTCTGCATTTCACTTTCATTCAAGATGAGAAAGCATTGTGAGGTTGTTACAGAAGAAGGAACATATTAATTTATTCATAATCATACTAGAGAACGAAAAGTAACTATCAGACACCATAAGCCGTTAGCTGTTCGCTAACATTTTTTCCTGCACCTTTGAAGGATAATAACCACAACAACCTTCATTTGGTGCAAAAATATACTTGTACATTTGTTCTTGGAAATTATCTATTCCTCAAAGCTCACAGTTTTCCTTGAGCTTCACTCTTGGAAAACAGTTCACATCTTGGAACAGAAAATGTCCCTACACATTTTTGCCCTAAGTAGAGGCTATTGTTTACATACTCCATAGTGGTATTGTACAACTCTGACTGGGGAATACTCTGTTAAATTGCGTTTCTAAACCAATTGCATTCATGCCGGAATATCTGATGTGCTACAATGTATGGATAGTTTAATCTATGTTTAATAAGACTTTTTTTCCAGAATGCAGTCAAAAGAACACAGATAATAGGCTATACAGTGAAGCATGTTCATACGCTGTAGCAAGAAAGAATTTAATTAAAATCACATGCACATTAAAGCTAACAGTTAAATTGGCTATGAATGAAAAGAAATTGTTTTAATCATAAAAATGTTACCAAAACAAATTACATAACCTGTACTTGCTAGTAAGAAAAATCAAAGAAGTACATAAACCCACCAGAATCAATACCTACTTGCGTTAAGGATACCCACTCTGGAACAACAAATCAAAATCTTTGTGTTAATCAACAGAAGATGAGAACTGTCATTGGAAACCGCTTGTAGTTACAACTTAATTTGACAATGTGAGGCAACATTGAGTAATTCTGGTGAAAATCAGATACTCAATTTGATTTCCCGCTACAGTGATTGTGACCAATAACATATGTTTCCCATGTTTTTGAAACCGAACGCGCCATATTACAGACAGCAAATCGACGCGACGCGATTAATTCATTGCGTTGAGCAAAATTGAAAGTACAAGAGTCAAATCGACCGCAGTATTTCGGATCAGCATAAATTACCGGTATACAATATGCATTAGACCCCTGGTTTACGATTTTAAGAATCTAAGTTTACATAGATCGTTTGTAGCGTGAATTTCAACAACAGTTTTACGCATGCATGTGAGCTAGCTCCAAAATCGTTGGAAAATTGCTGGAAAATCACGTCTCTAATAAAAACATTTGCCTCGATCGTTGAGAAAAGAAATTTCTGATTTCACGAATCATCTCTGCAATATTTAAGCGAGGGTTAAGTTTGTTGCCTGTAAAACTTACCGCGGGAGACGGGATTATTCACGACTTTTCCAGCTTAATCAAGGATGCACTTAGTGCTCAAACAACTTCAGATGTCTTATACAGACCTGGCTGCTCAGCCTAGATAAATATTGCGTGGTTACACGGTTCATTGATTCGTCGCCATTCCCAGTCTCTGCTCGTGAGAATTTTTCAGGTTTATCCGGATGATGTCTATTGGTCTCAAGAACTTTTCTGATTAACAGATGCACGTGTTCCAAACAAGGTTATTCTCCCTTTTCGGTCGATAAGTTAATCCGACAGCTTCTAACACAAAACTGAATAAAAGGGCAATAATATTTCAGTTACACTTTTCTCTTGGATATGAAGACATACTCTAGCTTCCAGTCGGTGAAAATAGAAGTGGTAAGACTTTCAAAACTTCCCATTAATAATCGCCGAGTTAAAATTTTAGGCCGATACAATATATAGATTTACCCAAGCCTAACAGTGGAGCTCTTGATAGTTTATTTTCCAGCCCTTCGCAATAATAAAAACTGGATGGGGGATGGGGCGAGCGGGAGGGGGGGAGGGGGGCCGCCAGAATTAGCGGGGTCTGGAACTGAGGGACGATGTTCTCACAATTTGCAAAGTGATCAAAACGCATACAGGTCGGCGGTATTTTCAAGCAGCTGAGAACCTTCTTTATTGTTTCAAATGTTTTGAGCAAATTTTCGAAGATGAAACAGAAAGGATTGGGTTTCGAAATAAGACCTTCACTACTATTCGCCTACATAGGTGTAGATTTTAAAATGTGGCACCAGACCCTAAAATGTTCCTGGAACTTTCGAGAGGCAGATGAAAAAAACACATAAGAGTTCAGGGTGATAGACCGAGATCTGAAAATTATCCCCGTACGGGCCGAAAATTAAAATCCCATGTGACATACTTTAATTTTGTCCGTGTTCTAATCTGTATCAAGAGAGGAAACAGTTTATCCACCAATTTATCCACTTGGCTGTAATTATTACCTACACCACAATTGTACCAGTTCACCACAGCAATAGACCCCGAGTAGTTTACCTTTCTTTTGAAAGAGATAAGTGCAGACGACCAGACGCATTTCAGAGACAACTGTCCCAAAAGCAACTTAATTTTACTTACTCAAGAAAAAAAAAGAACAAGACGTCCGCAATTTGTGATCATTTTAATAACACATGTTCTCTCAAATTTACAATTGACCAACGTGGAAACATTACGACCAATTTACAAATAAACTCTTTCATAACTCAATTTAACAACACTCTTTAAAAAGTTAATTAAGAGGAATAGAAAACAGATTCAGAAGAAAAATGCTGCCATCTCCTGTGATGTAAATCACCTGTTGGTAAAAAAATCATTGACAAAGAAGGTTGTATAAATCTTGAAATTGATGCGTATCACGGTTCTAGACGTATGTTTATAAAACCAAGGCTATCAATAGCTCGAAATTCCAAGGAATTTTCGACTGATTCCTCCTCATGTAAAAGATACATTATAACACCATAGCGCAAACAGTTGTGCTCTGCTAATTACTAATGCCTTGGCTGCATAAGATTTTCACAGCTAAAACTAGAAGAAAGCTTAGCTTGTTACAGTTACGGTCTTAATTTTGTAGGGAGTGTCTCTTGTTTCTGCTTCTCCGGGGAGTTAACCGTTTAGTCTTTAGAATGATAACACAACGAAGAATTATTTAGAGATGAACATTCAAATGAGCATTTATACAAACCTGCTGAGTACGGTTCAGCACTTTGCATAGTGATCAAGGATTCACAGTTTCTGATGGACTAGTACCATATGCATGAGACTGCTCCGCTACGTAAGGTACTTGATGAGCAAAGATGAGAAACTCTACGTAAGTGTCAAGTCTAATAGCACTAAATTGCGAAACCACTAATTGTGGCCACACTGAGATAATCGCCTAAATTCCTAAGATTATGAATACTCCACACACAGATTAGCAAATTAATTTCTCTAAGTGTAATTTTATTTGCTCAAGTATTTGTCTTCCAAAAAATACTTAGCCCTACAGAGAGGCTATTTTTCTGATAGACTTGCTTATAGAGGGTAGGAACGAGAAAGTTTCTTATCAACGAACGTTCTTGGTATCTTGTAGAAAATCTCTTTCGTTTTTAAATTTCAAGTAACAATTTTTTTCTTCCTCTTTCCCCATTGCATTCTTTTTGTATTCACGCGCGGCGCACTCGATTTCACAAATTAGCCAATCACGTTAACGAACTCTTACCTTGAAATTGGAAAACTGATGGGGACATTTTTCGCGTACTTTTAATTTGTTTTCGTGGAGTTTTAGTTTGTTGTTTTTGAGCTCTCGTTCGCGTAAATTTGTTACCCCTTTGTTTGGAATTTTAAGAAATTTCGGAGTTTTTATTTCAGCCAAATGTTGTGGTTCATTTAACAAGTTTAATACATATTTTCTACGGATTTCAGACTCTAGCCTCTTTTTCCGTAAACGGATTTTTTACATATCTAATGGCTGGGCGTTAAGAGGAACTATAATGCAAATTACAAACCTGTTGGGTATGGTGATAACTGTTGAACTTGCATCGGGCCAGATCCAATGTAGTTATGAGGAAACGGATTCTGTTCCGCAGGTATCCAAAATCCATGTTCCATGTCAGGCACGTTTTTTTTCTCCCATGTGTTTGGTCCAACGTTCATCGTTAACGGAGTTTGCCAGGTGTTGGAAGAAGAGGGCAGTGGAAAGGGTGCTACTCCTGGCATAGGCCCCATAGGATTAACAGCACTTGGATTCTGTACTGCAGAAATGCCCATCGGTGTTTCTTCCCAATTGTTGGGAAGAAAAGGCCTCGGCCATGGTGCTACTCCTGGAAACGGCCCCACAGGGTTACTAGGATGTCGATTCTGTCTCGTAACGACATTGTTTCCTTGGTCTGTGTAAGCCATGTTCGTGTTTTGCCATGCGTTGGGCACAATGTTAATTGGTGGGTGAATTGGACGAGAGTGAGAGGCAGGAAACCGTACCCTTGGTGTTTCCATCCTGCAGTGTCTCCCTATAAAAGAGAATACAATATCTCTATTTATTACATAATGGCAACGTATCACGTATGCGTCGCTCTTCTTTGTATTTAGCTGCTTTCCATCTCCTTGCGTTGAATCGTGTTTTAATGACTTTTGTTGAGGGGTATGCATAGACATGTGCTGTATTGCCATGCCCTCGTATTCTGCTGTGCTATAACTGTAGTAAATTACGACCTGATGCAGCACTGTCCTTGGTAGCTTTGTTGACTTTCTGGCGTTGTTTTTAAAAGATTTCACCCTGCCTGGTCGAGACTTATTTGTTCTGTTGCATTCAATATACGCAGTCCACTACACTGCGTTTTGGCCTATTAGCTCTGTGTTGGGTTGAATGAGCAAGTTGCATTAAGCTGCATTAACCACAGTAAAACCTTATATTGTAATGAAGCGAGAAAAGCCAAGTAATAACAGTTTCATTGCATTACTTCGCACGCCGCTGAGTTAGGTTGAATACTGACAGCTGCGTTGTGTCCCTCCCATCTAAGCTGGCTAGTGTTTTCTTCCATTCCTCTGCATCGTACTGCGCTTGACATTTCTCCGTTGCGTTGGATCACCAAGTTTCATTAAACTGCATCTTACTCTAGACTTTTTATTTCATTCTATGGATACTTAAGAAGCCATATACACAATAAGAATCACTAAAACGTTAGTGCGTATGATCTTAAGCTGCTTTGCTTAGTCTGTGCTCTTTCTTCGTCTGTGCCACTCACCTGGTGGACTGGGACGAATCCTTGGCAGGAGATAGCTTGGTTTGGGATGGCTCCATGGAGGTGCCTCCACTCCAAGCATCTGTGGAGGACCGCATGAACGCATCCGCCGCCGCTCTTGGGCTCTTGGCTTGTCGTAACTTCTACCCATCGATGCCTTTGTCTTGGGTTGCACCTCTTTATTCGGATAAACATTCTGTAGATAAATATATAATGCCACGGGAAGCTTGTTAGGGTATTTTTCTAAGTCAATCACATCTGGAAATTAAATTTTCGAAGGGATTTTGAAACTTCTTTTATGAAGACTGCTTTAATATCAATTGCGATTTGAAAAGATTTTACGCTCTGGGTAGAGATTGTGAAGATAACGATATTCGTTTTCTTTAATTAGTTAAAGTAATGACCTGCTCCAAGAAAAGAGAAGGTTCATTTCAAAAGATTCACACAATCTGCTGAAAATAAACTTCCAGACCTTAGTTGCCGGTCGAAATTCTCTTGCTAGAGGGTTCAATGTGCTCTTGTTGACGCCACTGTGAAAGTAAACAAAACGAAGAGTATGTTAAGTTGAATTGTGACTTTGTAATCTAGTATTTTGAAAGACAGAACTATTCTCGACACCCTTCTCCGCTGTACTCTTACCCTCCAACCTAAAACTCAATCACCGTCTAACATCTCCGTTAATTTTTCAGAACATTATCTGGGTATGGATTATTTCCCATCGAGCATTTGCAGGTTCTACTCCTTGACCAGACCATGCATCTACACAGTATAATTAATGACAATTTCGGCCATGAAATCTCTTACCTTTCAGAACTGATGTGCGCAATATTTTCACCATGGCTGTCATGCTGGGAAACACCAGAGTTCTGCGTCAAAATTTGTAAAAACATTAAATAGCTATGACTAAGTTATATGATCCTAAGTTGTTGTTTTTTTTTCATTATTCTGTCAAATCTCACATATTTGATTGTTTACTAACTTTTGCAAAGCAAAAATTTATTGCCAACATTAATGCGTTCCCTGTGGATTGTTCTGTCGCAAAAGATCTGTCTCTCGACAAATTATCGATTACCTTAGAACAAAATGGATGCTCTTAATCTACCTTTCTAGAAAAGCATAAGAGTATAAAACACAATGTGGTCCTCTACTTAAGAACAGAAAGGAGACTTAATCTACTCTTTTATAAAAGTGGGATAATGTTAAACTTAATGTTACCTCTTTTGTATCCCGGGTCGACTCAGGTTCACAGTAACCGTTGTTCACTTTTTCCAAACCAGTACATTCTGGGAAGGGTACTCGTTCAGCCTTCTC